GGACGAGCACAGAGGAGAGGAGCAGGAGGACAGCGGGAGGGCATCAGGACAGGATTAGGACATGAGCTTTAGGACATGAGCATGTGAGCAAGTGGAACGTACTGGACTGGTTCTGGTCACTCTCCACCTGCAGACTCTGGTTGATATAAACGTGTCCGTCTCTCAGGAGCCACACCACTCCACTGACCAACTGCTCAAAAGGGTTCCTCTGGTCCAGAAGCTCCTCCTCAGAAAGATACCTGCAGCACACAAGAGACGAGACGACCACAGACGAGAGAGGACAGAGGAGGAGAGAGAAGAGAGAGAGAAGAGGGGAGAGAGGAGAGGAGGGGGGAGGAGAGAGCGGAGAGACAGAAAAGAGAGAGAGAAAAGAAAGGACAAGAGGGGAGTGAGGAGAAAGAGAGGAGAGGAGGAGAGAGAGGAGAGGGGAGAGAAGAGAGGAGGACAGGAGAGAGAGAGGAGGAGAGAGAAAAGAGAGGACGAGAGGAGAGAGAGAAAAGAGAGGAGGGGAGAGAAGAGAAGATGAGAGAGAGAGGAAAGAGGAGAGGAGGAGGGAGGAGAGAGAGCAGAGAGAGAGAGAGAAAAGAAAGGACAAGAGAGAAGTGAGGAGAAAGAGAGGAGAGGAGGAGAGAGAGAAGAGAAGAGAAAGGGAAGGAAGAGGAGAGAGCAGGAGAGAAGAGAGAGAATAGGAGAGAAAAGGGGAGAAGGGGGAGGAGAAGAGGAGAGAGGTGAATAGTCAGTTGAAGTGAATCTCGTTCAGTTCCACACCAACTGTCTGTATCTAAAGGAGTGGTGATGTTTAGTGACGGGACCATGAAGAAGTCACCGACACCATACATACGCCGATACCGATACACGATACACATACACGATACATACGCCGATACACATACACGATACACATACACGATACATACGCCGATACACATACACGATACACATACACGATACACATACACGATACACATACACGATACATACGCCGATACACATACACGATACATACGCCGATACACATACACGATACATACGCCGATACACATACACAATACACATACACGATACATACGCCGATACACATACACGATACACATACACGATACATACGCCGATACACATACACGATACACATACACATACACGATACATACGCCGATACACATACGCCGATACACATACACGATACATACGCCGATACACACACACGATACACATACACGATACATACGCCGATACACACACATGATACACATACACGATACATACGCCGATACACATACATGATACACATACACGATACATACGCCGATACACATACACATACACATACACGATACACATACACGATACATACGCCGATACACATACACGAAACACATACACGAGACACATACACGATACATACGCCGATACACATACACGAAACACATACACGAGACACATACACGATACATACGCCGATACACATACATGATACACATACACGATACATACGCCGATACACATACATGATACACATACACGATACATACGCCGATACACATACATGATACACATACACAATACGATACAGTGCACTTTAATTTGATTTGATATATTTAAAAACGATTCGAATCAGTTCAATAAAAAATAAAGTCTAAATCATGTCTGTGATACTAAAAGTCTTGTACCATTTCTTGTACAAAGTTCATATGAAACACAAACATTTGAATCCTCAAAACCACATAAACAAGTTTCCTTCCTCTGAACAAACAACAAAACTGTAGCTGTAACAAAATAATTTAGTAAAATACACCAAAAAACACTTTGCAATATATCGATACAGCAGCCCATGATATCGATATTTCAATATTTTTGTACACCTCTAGTGATGTCATCTGAAACTCAGCTGCTTGTGTGAGGACCTACCTCCAAGCTCTCTCAGGTTCCAAACGTAGTTTTCAAGTAAAGATTAAGGCGATCAGTTCTGTGGTGACTAATGTCCATAACCTGATTCTTTTCAGTCAAAAAAAGAACACTTTCAGTTGTAACTTTATGGTTTGCACCAAGCTTTCCCTCTCTGAGTCTATGGAAAGTGAATGGGAAAGGTTCTTGCAGAGCTTTGAACCAGAGCTCCAGTGTAAATGTGATGTTAGCTGCACTCACCCGAACACGAGGCTGCCGTCTCTCCTGATCCCAAACTGAGCGTTGAGGACCTCAGAGCTCCTCACCGCTCTGCCGTCGCTCACCACGTTCCCCAGACACTGGCCCGTGGTGGCGTTATAGAAGCCCGCGTTCACCGCCACCTCGCAGCCGCCGGAGAGCGCCGTCCGTGCGGCGGGGACGAGCAGCCGCAGCCCGCAGCCCCCCCCCCCTCCGGGCTCCAGCACCGACAGGGTCCTCAGGGGGTCCCGCACCACTGCCATACGACCTGCAGCAGAGAGGGGGCGCTGTCCAATCAATGCACAACAAACAGTCAAACACACAGGAAGATCTTAACCCTATCATCACCCTAATCTGTAATATAAAACAACTCTGACAGGGTTCACAAATGATACTTTGATGATGATGTCATCAACCTTCACTGGGGCAGGGGTGTCCAAACTTTTTCATCAAGGGCCACATATCTAAACATAGACCAAGCAGAGGACCGATCGAGGGCCGTAGACTGATGCTCAATACAGTGAATAATAGAAATATGTGCATGTTTAACATGTTAGAATGAGCCGTCAGTCTTTATTCATTCTAACATCCTTAAAACCACACACTCAATATTCAATATGAGCTTTATCAAGGTAGATTTTCAAACAACTTGCAGTAAAAAGTACATTTTTTAATTGATGTAAGGTCATTTAGACCAAGTCACCTGGAAGCCTGAGGGCCAAGAAAAATTAGTCTGGGGGCCACATTTGGCCCACGGCCGTAGTTTGAACATGACTGCACTAGGGGAGGAAGCTAACTGGAGGCACTGCTCTGTCTGAAGGTCTGTTACTAAAGTATCATACAGTATCAGTACAGTATCAATACAGTATCAGTACAGTATCGATACAGTATCAGTACAGTATTGATACAGTATCAGTACAGTATCAATACAGTATCAGTACATTATCGCTACAGTATCAATACAGTATCAGTACAGTATCGATACAGTATCAGTACAGTATCGATACAGTATCAATACAGTATCAGTACATTATCGATACAGTATCAGTACAGTATCAATACAGTATCAGTACAGTATACAGTATCAGTACAGTATCAATACAGTATCAGTATACAGTACAGTATCAGTATCATACAGTATCAATACAGTATCAACAGTATACAGTACAGTATCAATACAGTACAGTACAGTACAGTATCAATACAGTATACAGTATCATACAGTATCAGTAATACAGTACAGTACAGTACAGTATCGTACAGTATCAGTATCAGTATACAGTATATACAGTATACAGTATCAGTATCAGTACAGTAATCAGTATACAGTACAGTATCGATACAGTATCATACAGTACATCAGTATATACAGTATATACAGTATATACAGTATCAATACAGTATACAGTATCAGTACAGATAATACAGTATCATACAGTATATACAGTATCAATACAGTATCAGATACAGTATCAGTACAGTATCAGTACAGTATCAATACAGTATCAGTACAGTATCAGTACAGTATCAGTACAGATACAGTATCAGTACAGTATCATACAGTATCAGTACAGTATCAGTACAGTATACAGTATCAGTACAGTATCAGTACAGTATTCAGTACAGTATCAGTACAGTATCATACAGTATCAGTACAGTATCAGTACATTATCGATACAGTATCAGTACAGTATCAATACAGTATCAATACAGTATCAGTACAGTATCAGTACAGTATCAGTACAGTATCGATACAGTATCAGTACAGTGTGTGATTGTACAAAGATTGGCAGTATATTTTATACTGGAGATAAAGCAGGAGACATGGTGGCAGAGTGGTTAGCCCTGTTAGCTGTTAAGATTATGATGGGGTGATCAGATTTTCAAAATCAAAAACTGGAGCACTCTGTTTTGGAGGAGTTGAGAATATTGAAATTGTGAAACACCTGTGTAATTAAGAAAAATTGTTCTGCACTCAGTCCATGACAAACATGTGAGTCAGGATAGTCATTTTTAAGCAGCTTTTCTGTATTTTACCTCAACAAATGTCCATTTATGTCTCTTTTTACTGTTGGCAGGATCAGATTGGTCAAAATTAGGGACATCTGGGACATTTCTTGTATAAATCCACTGGGACAGGGGACACAGGCTCAAAACCCGTTCCAGGGAAAAGGGACGTCTGGTCACACTAGACAATGGCAGTGCTATTATTTTTATTTGAATAACTTAATCTCATTCAATTTGTGGAGTATAATTGCACTAATGTTTAATGTTTCCTCGTACACTCTTCTGTGTGGAGTTTGCATGTTTTCTTTGTGTCTGCTTTCTCTGGTTTCCATCATCAACCTTAAACATGTACAGTGGACTGAGGAAGTCTTCAGACCTGATCTGGTTAAAGTGAACTCTGGTGTGTTTCCTGCTCAGATGTGAACACCAAACCAAACTGATCTGCACCAAACAAGAGCATGTGAGGAAAATGAAAATAAAGTCCACAGACGAGAAGACAGTTAAAAACATCCAATCCACATGTGCTGCTGAACATATCACACATCTGCCTGTGGACTCAACATCCAGAGCATCACATTTCATGTTAGGGACAATACAAGATACAACACTGAGCCCATGAGACTAAAACGAGAGTTTGAAATCGTTCTTAATATAGAAACTGTGTGATCCAGTTTTGGCCTCATAGTTCTGGATGTATTTTATTTCATATTTTTGTTGCCATTCTAATATTGCTTTTTGGAGAATTATAACCCTTTACCAGTCCAGCTGTAGGGAAAAAATCTCACAAGACCATTTTTCAAACATCTCGTGAGATCTTGTCTCATCCCTTTAAATGTTGATAAAAATTATCCACCATCATTTCTTCTTGTTTTATACCGCCTCTACAGGTGAGTGGTGGTACTGCACCCTCAGTCAGATCAGCTCAAACATGAACTAGAGCGATGATGATGAAGATGATGATGGGCGCTGATGCACAGCACGCCCTGGTCCTCCATGTGAGCAGAAGAGTCTACAGCTGGAGGAAGAGTCTACAGCTGGAGGAAGAGTCTACAGCTGGAGGAAGAGTCTACAGCTGGAGGAAGAGTCTACAGCTGGGGGAGGGTACAGCTGGAGGAAGGTACAGCTGGAGGAAGAGTCTACAGCTGGAGGAAGAGTCAACAGCTGGAGGAAGGTACAGCTGGAGGAAGAGTCTACAGCTGGGGGAGGGTACAGCTGGAGGAAGAGTCTACAGCTGGAGGAGGTGTACAGCTGGAGGAAGAGTCAACAGCTGAGGAGAGAGAGGAGGGTACAGCTGGAGGAAGAGTCTACAGCTGGAGGAAGAGTCTACAGCTGGAGGAAGAGTCTACAGCTGGAGGAAGAGTCTACAGCTGGAGGAAGGTACAGCTGGAGGAAGAGTCTACAGCTGGAGGAGGGTACAGCTGGAGGAAGAGTCTACAGCTGGAGGAAGAGTCTACAGCTGGAGGAAGAGTCTACAGCTGGAGGAAGAGTCTACAGCTGGAGGAAGGTACAGCTGGAGGAAGAGTCTACAGCTGGAGGAGGGTACAGCTGGAGGAAGAGTCTACAGCTGGAGGAAGAGTCTACAGCTGGAGGAAGAGTCTACAGCTGGAGGAGGGTACAGCTGGAGGAAGAGTCTACAGCTGGAGGAGGGTACAGCTGGAGGAAGAGTCTACAGCTGGAGGAGGTACAGCTGGAGGAGGAGCTGGGAAGAGTCTACAGCTGGAGGAGGGTACAGCTGGAGGAAGAGTCTACAGCTGGAGGAAGAGTCTACAGCTGGAGGAGGGTACAGCTGGAGGAGTATTGTGCATGAGTCAGTTTGACCCCAGACACAGGTAGAACATGCAAACTCCACACACACAGGCCAGACATGGACCGGGCTAACCACTCTGCCACAGTGCTGCAGTGTAGGGTCTAACCATAGATGTAGCGCCCCCTGCTGGGTTCATAGATGAAGGTGTGAGCAGAGGCGGGGCTGTGGTGTGAGGAGGACGAGGACGAGGAGGAGGACGAGGACGAGGAGGAGGGCCAGGAGCTGAAGGTGAGCTCTGAGGGGGGCGGAGTCTCTCTGCGGCACAACAGATACACAGAGTTACAGACTGTAGCACTTTAGTTTACATTTATTTCATTTGATTTGTGTTTCTCTGACAGGAACAATGCAGTGATCCACAGTCACAGGCAGAACATGCAGATGATGCTGATGCATACAGAGTGTAGCTAGGTCCTGGCTCGGGCTTTTCCTACACAAACACTTCAAAACTGTTTAAAGCACAATCTTTAAACATTTCAGACAATCCAAGATTTGCAGGACACAGCTCTGGTCTGAACAGCACAAGCTCTGGTCTGTACTTCACACACAGCAGAGTGTCCACCTGGACTCCAGTCACACCTGAGTCAAGATTTTTAGGATTTGAAACGTGACTTGATAAAATGGACTAAGACTTGGGACTCAACTTGGACTTGAAGTTCAGTGACTTGGGACGTGACTTGGACTTGAGATGTGAGACTTGAGAAGACTTGATACTTCCTCTAAAAATATATGTGTTTTAAGAAAATACTTTTCTCTTTACAGTTGATAAATGTGATGCTTCATTTTATAGCAGGCATGTCCAAACTATGGCCTGTGGGCCAAATGTGGCCCTCAGACAATTTTTTCTTGGCCCTCAGGCTTCCAGGAGACTTGGCCTAAATTACATTATATCAATCAAAAATAAACTTTTTACTGCAAGTTTTTTGAAAATCTATCTTGATAAAACAAATATTTAATATTTAGTGTGTGATTTTAAAGATCTTAGCATGAATAAAGACTGACGCCTCATTCTAACGTGTTAAACCTGCACATATTTCAGTTATTCACTGTACTGAGCTCCAGTCTACGTCCCTCGATCAGTCTCTGCTTCATCTGTGTTTAGAGATGTGGCCCTTGATGACAAAAGTTTGGACACCCCTGGTTTACAGGAACAAACTTTAACATGTCCCTCTCACTTGTTACTTTGGATGGAACCGAAATACTGTGATGTGGTATCATCAAATACAGTACTATACAGTACAATACAGTACTATACAGTACAATACAGTACAATACAGTAAAAGAGAGGGAACTACAGAGAACATGATCCTTCATGACAAAGTAACTGTTAAATCTGAATACTTTCTGTTCTGACAAGATCTTGACAAGACAAAAATTAACATTTCTACGCCTCTTATAAAAAAAGTCACATACAAATATACCATGACTTTTTAATCTTCATTTTTCATTTTAGTTCAATTTTAATCAATTTAGTTTAAAATCCATATAAATTGCAAATATTCTAAGCCACAGGTGTCAAACATAAGGCCCAGGGGCCAGATCCAGCC